CCAAGAAAAAGTTATTATCCACTAGTTTCAAACTTGTAACCTAATGCCCAAAAAAAAAAAAAAAAACTTACTTTTATGTGGAGGTGGAAGTCATATTTCTTAAAATTTAGGGATTAATTGAATATCCCAAAAATACATCCACTTACAAATCAATATCAAACTTTATTGATCTTTTTCCTCTACTTTGCCTCTAAACCCTAGCTAGAGTAGTTGCTTTTCGTGACCCCCACAGCCATGGTGACTTATGACTTGACTCCATGCATAGTGCCAAACCTCGTCTAGTATCTAGTCTTCCTTCTCTTGGAGTTTTTGTAGGAGCTTGATAGATCCAGAAATTGGAAAGAAGAATTAGAAGAAGAATTAAGGGAGAATAGATCCAAGAAGAAGAAGAAGTTAGAGATTAGAAAAGGGGAACCAAGAAGGAGATAGAAGGAAGAGGAAAAGTTTGTTTGTAGTCATCAATCAATAGATTTTTAGTTACAAAGCCATCCCTTATATAAGGGCAATTACAATTATAGACCTCAACAAACTTCTTAACAAACGGACCCATATTTCTAGCTTAGCATAGATAATTAGACTGTAAAAAATGCTTCTGTCTCTAAAATCCTTGTCTTCAAGGATTAGGATGAAAATCTGGAAACCTAATGAAGATATTAGCACAAGTTTCTCAAGAAGCCTCCTCAATAGTACACCCCTTCCACTAAATTAACCACATAGTAACAGGTTTCCCATGACAATTTTGCACCCTTTTATCCATAATTTTGTCAGGAAAGAGATGTTGCCCATTATGAATCAACAGATCAAGGAATTGGGAAGTTATTGGTGCGCTTCCCACCTTCTTCTTCAATAAAGAAACATGAAAGACATTATGTATCTTGGCATTTTCTGGCAATTACAACTTGTGAGCCATAGGACCAATCCTTTGAAGTACCACAAATGGTCCACAATACTTAAGAGACAACTTATGATTCCAAGTTTGCAACAAAATGGATTGTCTGATTCCAAGTTTGCAACAAACTAGATTGTCAGAATGGTTGAAGTTTCAGATTAACTTGATCCCCCACAGCAAATTCCCTATTAGTTCTGTTCTTGTATGAAAGTTGCTTCATTTTATTTTGTACCCTTATTAAATGAAATTTGAGCAACTATAAAGCTCGCTCCCTTGCTAGTAAGGTTCTGTTAACTGCTTCAAAGTTGGAATCCCTAGAAAGGTATGGAATACGCATAAGAGCAAGTTGACCATATAAAACCTAATAAGGTGTGGTTTGGTTAGCATAATGGAAGTTGGTATTATACCAGTAGTCCACCAAAGAAAGCCAAGATGACCGTTCTTTAGGAGATTCACCACACAACAATTAAGTACCTCTGTCTGCCTATCAGATTGGGGATGATATGCAGAAGACATATGTAAAGAAACCTTGCATAATTTGAATAACTCCTTCTAGAACAAACTAGTGAATACTGGATCCTTGTCACCCACAATCACCTTAGGCATGCCATGCAGCTTATAGATGTGAGACAGATAAAACTAAGTAATCTTTGAGGTAGTATAAGGGTGCATTATTGGTATGAAATGGGCATACTTACTCAACTGATCTACCACAACTATGATGACAATATAGCCTTGGGAACTTGGAAACCCTCAATAAAGTCTATAGAGACTTCTTCCCAAACTCGATGAGGTAGAGGCAATGGTTGTAAAAAACTTGCTTGGAAAGTGGGTTTATACTTGTGTAATTGACAAGTGTGGTAGCCTCGAATAAAATTTATAATATCCTTTTTCATGCCTTTCTAATAAACCAATGAAGACAGCCTCTATGTAGTAGCTAGTGCTCTTAAGTGCCCTTCTATAGCCTTAGTATGTATCATCTATATTAACTTGGTCCTTAGCTACATATCATGTCGCACCATCAACTTTCCTTTTCTTTTAACTAGTGATCCACATAGGAATATTTTCCATCATTATTACTCTTAGCTTGCAACATGGTTATGATCTGTTGTAACCTTGGATCCTTATGCCAAGAATCCTGAATCTCAGCCATCAAAGTAGTAAAGATAGAAGATAAAGTTGTTAAGGATATACTCACACTAGACATATAATGCATCAACTACATGATTCTCTATCCCTTTCTTGTATCTAATTTCATAATCACACCCCAAAAGTTTATATAGCCATTTTTGTTGTGCCAAAGTGACAATCCTCTATTCCAGCAAGTGTTTAAGACTATGGTGGTCCGTCTTGATAACAAAGTGCCTCCTAACTAAGTAAGGTCTCCATTTAGTCACTGCCAATACTAAAGCCAACAACTCTTTCTCATGAGTAAACATACCTTGATGTTTTGGAGCTAAGGCCTTACTTAAAAAAGCAATTGGGTGATTATTCTACATCAATACTACTCTGACACCATTGCCAGATGCATCAAATCTAATACAAACTCTTATTGGAAATTGGGTAAGGCTAGAATTAGGAGTAAAGGTGCAAATAAGGATTCCAACTTTGCACTTTTTTCTATTTAAGGATGTTAATTTTGTTAGTTTCTAAATAAGGATGTCAATTTTCAATTTTTTTCTAAATGATGATGTTAACTTTGTCAATTTCTAAATAAGGATATCAACTTTCAACATTTTCTATTTAAGGATGTCAACTTTCAAATTTTTCTATTTAAGGATTAATTGAATAGTGATGTTGATGTGGCTAACATATTTTTTAGATTAAATACCTGAATTGGTGTCTCAACTTTTATTTTTGAACCAATTCATCCTTGAACTTCAGAAAGTACTAAAAACGTCTTTCAACTTCAATTTTCAATTAATAAAATTATTTCCTAATTCATGGAAGAATTAATTAAATTTTATTTAATTTTATTAAATGGTAGGTGGGACTAATTAAATGGAAAAATATATTAATTGTTTTAATTTTTAAATATAAATAAAGTAAAATTAAGAATTAAAGTAGTTTGTAAATTATTTAAAATTTAAAAAATCCACATAATCATCTTTTACATGATGGATTTTCCACCTAATGTTGAAAATGTAAATTAGTCAATCACTTAGCAAAAAAATTAGCTACATCAACATTTAATTGACGGAAAGATGAAATTGAAAATTGAAGTTGAAGGACGTTTTTGGTACTTTCTGAAGTTTGAGGATGAATTGGTTCAAAAATAAAAGTCGAGGGACCAATTCAAATATTTAACCTAAAAAAATATGTTAGCCACGTCAGCATCACTATTCAATTAATCCTTAAATAGAAAAAGTTGAAAGTTGACATCCTTAAATAGAAAAAGTTGAAAGTTGACATCCTTATTTTAAAACTAACAAAGTTAACATCCTTATTTTAAAAAAAAATTGAAAGTTGACATCCTTATTTAGAAACTGACAAAATTAACATCTTTAAATAGAAAAAAGTACAAAGTTAAAATCATTATTTGCACCTTTACTCCTAAAACTAGAGTAGATGTCATAGCCTCTTTCAACTTTTCAAAGGCTTTTTGTGTCTCTTGCCCCCCAAGTGAACCTATTCTTTTTAAGTAAATTAGTGAGAGGTCTAGAAATCAACCAATAATTTTTTACAAATCTTCTGTAATATTCTGTTAGCCTAAGAAACGCTCTAAGTTCCTTTATGTTTCTAGGCACAAGCCATTCATTTAGAGCTACAATCTTAGTTGGATTAGTGGCTACCGCTTGAAAAGATATAATATAGCCCCATACTCAATTTGTTGCATGCAAGGGCATACTTACTTAACTTAGCAAAAAATGTATGCTGCCTTAAAACTTCCAATACAATCCGCAAGTGTTGCAAATGTTGTTCCCAAGTGTGGCTATAAACCAATATATCATAAAACAACACTAGAACAAATTTCCTTAAGTATAGTTGAAAAGCAGAATTCATTATTGCTTGAAACGTGGAAGGAGCATTAGTAAGGCCAAAAAGCATCACTAAAAATTCATAGTGCCCCTGGTGTGGTCTAAAAGCAGTTTTGTGAATATCTACTTCTTTCATCATGATTTGGTGATAACCAGAGCTCAAATCAATTTTGGAGAAATAATTGGCCCCATGTAGTTCATCCAACAATTCTTCAATCATAGGCATAAGGATCTTTTGCTTCATGGTAGCTTTATTTAGTTCCCTATAGTCAATACACATCCTTTAGGTACCATCCTTCTTTTTAACCATTACCACTGGTGAAGAAAAAGAACTGGTACTATTTCTGATCACACCAGACTACAACATTTCACTCACTATCTATTTCATAGCATCATTTTGTATAGAAGGGTACCTATAAGGTCTGATATTAATGGGCTTTATATTTGTCTTTAGATAAATCTAATGATCCAAGCTACTAGAAGGAGGTAATGACTTAGGTTCGTCAAACACATCTGAAAATTCCTCTAACAATTTCCTCAAGCCCATAGGTTACTCAGCAAACTCAGTGGCATTAAGGCTATGTACAGAGTCAGCCCCCGACACCACCCGTACCAAAAATAATTACTTCTGTCATCTTGCTCCTTCAACAACAAGGGCAATAACTTATCATTTTGAACCCATTTGACAATTGGTTTTGGGGTAGCCTTTATGTGAGCTAATTGGTCATTATACTTGAAGTGCAAAGTTTTAAGTTTTAAGTCCCATAAGACTTTGCCAAGAGGTTCTAGCCATTGTATTCCTAGAATAAGGTCATATTCCCTCATTGGCAGCAACATCTCTTAAGTAGTAAACACATGCCCTTAGACTTCTTATTCAAACGTATCACACTTCTCAGCCCTTGTTACCTTACTACCATCAACCAAAGTGACTTAATAAGACTTTGTTCCCTTTATCTCACACCATAGCTCCTTGGCCAACTTAGCATTAAGGAAGTTATGGGTAGTTCCTAAGTCAATTAGTATCAAAATCTACCTTTTGCCCACTTGACTTATCACCTTAATATTATTATAGCCCACCTCACCAGTCAATGCATGGATTGAGATCTGTGGCTTTATGATAAGCATCTGATTAAGATCAAAATTCGCATCATTAGCTTCTACACTTCCGGCATCTTCATCTATGGAAATTATCACCATGTTATAGAGTTTCTTCTTGCTACATCTATGCCTTGGACCATATCTCTCATCACACCAAAAGCACAACCCTTTTTGCTTCGTATCCTTTAATTCAACCTCAGACAAGCTCCAACATTCCTTAGTTTGTTCTTAGTTACAATAGATATTAGAAGGTTGTTACTAGGGTTGATTGGTGGAAATTTAAAGGAATTAGGTTGGAAGGAGTTTTTTGTATAGATGCTTGAATTTGGAAGTGGTAACCTCTGTGAATCTAGAGGCAAGGGTAATAAAAGGGGTAAACTTTTAAAAGGTGGTAGTGGAACTCAAACCTTTTTCAATATAAAGTTCACAGACAATTCCTGTTGTTTGGCAATAGCATAGGCCTCCACCACAGATTTTGGGTTATAACAGGTTATTACATGTTGGATCTCCTCCTTCAAGCCACCCATAAACATAGCCATAGATTGTCTTTCAAAACACTTAAGCCTTGCTCTAATCCTTTTAAAATCCCTCTAGTAATCACTTACACTACTAGTCTGATTAAGTTTCTTCCACAAAACAATGGGATCTTGCAACTCACCCTCCCCAAACCTCAAACTCATATCAAAGATATAGTCCCTCTAGTTTGGAAAAGTCACCTTATCTTGCATATAACACTCATGCCACACAATTGCATCTCCACACAGACACATTGATGTACTTTCAACCTTTTGCTCATCAGAAATGTTATGAGCCTTAAAGAACCGATTACATTTATACAACCATCCCCTAAAATTATCTGTTCCATTGTAGCTAGGAAAATCAACTTTACCAAACTTAGCCATATTAGCTACAAGATCACTCGAAATAGGGTTTTCAGGAGATCTTACAATGTAAATATTTTTCTTCTAGATAGCTACACAAGAAAACACCTTTTGAGAATATGAACCTAGGGAGGTTGTCTATGGCATTCCTTCTTAGGGATTTCCTACTTGGACTCCCAAAGATCTACGGATAGTTTTAAATCCATAAAAAAAAAAAATGCTAACAGGCAAGAAGATTTGGAGAAGCTATTGAAGAGCCATATTAATAGATGCACAGATAGTTTTAGAAAAACAAGTTGCGTTAGATAATAAGATTAGAAATTAGTGGAGTGTGCAAATTAAAAAATTTCTACCATTAATCTTACTTTTGATATTTCTTCTAAAATTGTTTGTGATCCTTACATAACCCCTAATTGCAAGTACAAAAATTTGGTCAAAAACAAAATAGAGGAAGAAATAAAAGAGGAGGATGCAAAAGCAAAACCCTAGCTGCTCAATTTAGAAAATTAAAAATGAGGAGAGATTGAGAAAAGAAACATATGGGTTTAATGAAAAAGATTCATTGTCTTGTTGGACATAAATTATTATTATTAGCATTATTATTATTTTCATTTAAGAATGCTTAGTCAGCATATTTAAGTCCATGTAAGCTATGTATTAAAAGGTTTCTTGACACATCGACAGATCATGTCCCCCTTAACCATCTCCGTTAGCCACCCCAGCAGTTCACTTTCAAGAACGCCTTGGATGGTAAGATTAAGAAATTAAACTCCTTAATTAGGAAAATTGAAAGTCCAGCTCCTTGTTAGTAAAAACATGAAAGTTTGACTCTTATTAACTAGTTTTGCCGTCTTAAGGGCGCCTTCCTCTCTTTTTTTTTCTCAACAGAACTTAAGTGTTCTTTAGCTTCTTTTATGATTAATAATTTAAAGAACTAAAGAGAATAGGTAATTAAAATGTTAGGATTAATAATGAAAAAATTAAAACATTTTTAATAAGTTAATATATAAAAAGGATTTATTAAAAATATTTAAACAATTTTATATAGAATCTTTATATTTAAAGTACTAGAACATCTTATTTTGATTTTTCTCATAATCTAATATGATAACTAATGAAAGTTTGATAGAGTTAGTACTCATTAATTTAAAAATTTTAATTTGAGATCAAGATCAAAGATTCAAATCTTTGTGCTATTAAATAGTTAACTCTCATATGCATTAAAAAATAATTTAGTATGATGAAAATAATAATATAAGATTAATAAAACTAATAATCTAAGTAACTCAGTGACAACCTCTTTCCGTTAGAAGTAAAAGGCCCTAAGTTCGAGTCACATAACATACAAATGAAATGTGATAAGGGATAAGAGAAAGTTTTCTCACGTTGTGCAACCAACATAATATATATATATATATATATATAAGATTAGTAAAATTTTATTGTATCTCCATATATGATGACAATACATGCACAAGATGATCATCAAGGGACTGACTCCATTTACCAAAAAAAAAAAAAAAATCAAGGGACTGACTCCAAACTGAAGGGACTCAAAACAAAAATCATTGCTTTTGCCTCATTCGGAGACATTATTCATATTGTTGCTTCATGACAGCTAAAGCAACCATTTTTATAGTTCAGTTTCTCTTACACACTACTATAGACATATGCACAATCACTATTAGTTCTTGCTCGGAGTGTAGAGCCATACTGGTCTTACATTCAGTGCTTGAGTTGGTCTCGCATTTGCCTCATATCCCTGAAAAATGGATGGAATCAACATCAAATTCCAAGTACATTTCATCCCACAGAATGTGTTAACAGATTATAGGAGAAATTCGTCCTGGTTTATAAGAAAATTTTCTTTCAGTCCTTCTGGACTAGGAAAAAACAAACAAACAAGCACAGCTTTTGGACGTGCATGTGGGGCTGCATCCAAAGGCATATATCGACATCCAAATTCAGAATAATATACCACAACCACTTGTAAGAAGCACTTACATCATGAACAGCATCCCTTAATGCTTTTACTTGCTCTCTTGAGGCTGTCCTCACCTACAAAAGACAACATATCAACTTGTTTAGGAAAGCCATCAATGGAGAAAAGAAAATGGTTAAGGGACAAGGAAATTGGTAAAAGGCTAAAAGGACCTTCTTGACAATTGTCCAAACGACACCTTGAGTGCAGGGAGGAGTTGTAAGTGAACCAATGTATCTGTAATACTTTCTGCTTCCAAACTTGATGTCTCCTGGGTTAAGAATACCTATTGGTCTCTCATTTTTTCCAACTGTTTTTATGTGATGGAGCAGCTTCCAAAAAGACCAAGGAAGAACAAACAAGGGAAAGAAAATTAGGGAAAACCCCAATAGAAGCACATGGTACAAGAGCAAGAAGAAGAAGGAATATGGCAAAAACCAATATGCTAAAAGCTTGCAACTTCTTGAGGGTAAAATTTTTATGTGTCACGTTTTTTCTCCTTCATTTTTAGGCCACAAGTTCTAATGCAGTCTTTGGAGATACATATATATGAATGCATATATACGCTCATACATAATGCGGTTGCATACGTGTATCAATTATGAAAGGGTACACATGCATGTACTTAGGAGTAAACATGGTAAAACAAAAAGTTCAATACCCTTGAAAGCAAGGGGTCAGGGCGGCCATATTTGTAGACAATTCCGATAACTGCAATCTTTCCTGAGGCACTTAGATGAACAACGTGAAGTTCCAACTTGTATCTGTAAATGAAGGTAATTGGCAAAAGGATGAGTTAGAATTAGTCTTGTACGCTTCTGAGTGAGTTAGAAATTCAGTGCAAGTCGTCAGTTAATGTTTTGGAATGGCAGACACAAGTAGAATCATTTATACTTCTAGGTGTAACAAATACTAAACTAAATCACAAAGACATGAAGGATGTACCTAGATCCGTTGAATGTGTGCTCTGAGGGCGAATGCCAATGACACTGAATCAACTTATAATCAGTTTCATTTATATTGATTTTTCCAGCATACCCTTCCCACCGCACCTGATACAAAATTGATCATAGATTGAAAAACAGAAAGTGACATCTGACTTTGCAATGTTGGTTAGGAAACAAGAAATAGAAGCAACAGAGAATAGAACTTAACTGAAATATCATGTCCCCTATTCTTCACAACAGCTGGAGCTACTTTGTAGTCCCTCTTTAATTTCCCTAAATTAGACATAACCTGTACTCTTCCATCCAGAAGGTCAATAGGAGACTGCAATTTTCCAGTATTGCAAACTTTCCAATCTGGCCTGATGTTGCCCCATTCCTTTGGCCCTTTACCAGTCCCTTCAATGTAAGTAAATGGAGTTTCATCCCCTGCGAAATCCGAGTCCCATTGAAAAAGAAGACTGTCAAATTTATTGCATCAAAAATCAGTAAAGGAACAACTTTTTAAAAGAGGTCAATCATCATCTCAAACTTCTTGGTAAACAGAAAGGAAATATTTCTATATTTACAAAATGTGCTTGGAGTAAATTTACCAAATACTAGCGATGATCAAGAAATAAAGAGTGAGAATCTAAGGAAATCAAAGAAATAGAAAAGTGAAAGAGAAAATACAGTAAAAATATGCTTTACTTAAAGTAATCAGCATGTTAAAGCATAGAAAGTAAAGAAGCTTGCTTTTCTTCTTTAATTGTGGAACATGATAACGAATCCAGATATAAGAAAGACTAGCCATCTGACATGATTGGCCAAAAGTTTGATCACCGTGATCTGCATTGGAGATATATTTGCTAACTAAGGACTCCACTCAAGGACACAGAGTCTACTTGATACTAGCTAGAATAGAGGGAGACAAATGTCCGCCAGCATCAAAATTGTTACTGTAAATGTGTTTTGACACTTCAACAAGTAGTAACCAATGAGCAATTCTCTCAACGAAGAAAATATAGATATATACAAGACTCACATACTATTAAATTGAATGCATTTTTAAGAAAATGGTGTTTTTCTATGCGGTCAGTGTTCTGCATTCTGTTGCAGTTCAGACTCCAGACTACAAAACATGAGCTATCAAATGAGAAACCTGCTCTTGATGCCGTTTAAATTACACAAAACATTTTCCTTCTTTTATGCTAGATAAAAAAAACTCTTCTTTATCTGCATATTTTGTAGTTTGTACTTACAGAACCGGGAAATCCGGCCAAAAAAGTTTCCAGTCCATACCTGAGATAAGAAAAATACCGCTCATATCCTTGAGTTTTGGTGTTTTGTTGAGGGATGTTTTTGTGAATTTCTGTCTAAATGGGCAGTTCAGAGAGAAAACAACATTTCTCTTGTATTTACATCTGCATGTGTAATCTTTGATTTCATAAATAAAATGAGAAAATAATCCAAGGCTTCAATTGACAGTACTTTTTAAACATCCTTTTCACGTATCATCTTTTTTTTTTTTTTTTTTTTTTTACATGTTTACAAGAGCAGGATCGAATCCAACCCAAGGGGAGAGTACACTTTTTTTTTTCAATGTGATTAATGCTACTAGATAAGTATTAAGTGTTACGTATTATTTTATTTAAAAATATAAATATATAATTCTTAATTAATTTCAGTGAAACTTTTTTATACTTTTATTAATTTTCCATATATATATATAGGGGGTAAAAAAGACTACAACGACAAAACAACACAACACAGAAGTCAACGAAAGTTAGCAAAATATCAGCTGCACTGTTACTAGCAGAATGTGATGATCAAGATGTTAAAAAAAAGGGGGAACAGATCAATCAAATTTGTGATAAGGTAACTATATAACTGGAAATCCAAGTTCCATACATAACAAAAACACATCAAAAGAACCTATAATCAGCAGCCATGAAGAAGAGAAAGCAACAACATTTGGCTCATTATCTGCATTGTTTCTGTATATGCAAGTACAAATTAACATAAAATGTCCCATTTCCCATAAGTAGAAAGAAACCCCAGATGTAAATTGAAGGAAAACATACCCACTTCAGAACTGGAAGCTATGCAGATGGGGAGAAGACAGGAGGAGGAGAGGAAAAGGAAAGAAATGAGGATGAGGGCAAAGGTGGAACGAGAGCAGCAGCAGCTGTACTTCATTGTGTTTTTGGTTTCTGCTTTTCTAGTGGACGTTGATTCCAGAGAATATATATAGGGAATGGAGACTGAAACTTCTTGTTTTTTACTAACCAAACCCAAAGTAAGGAATTTCTACCAAAAAAAAAAGAGAGAAAACCTTAAGTTAGGAATAAATTAACGGACAAGAAAGAAAGCAAAATCCATTAAGGCGGCCGCCTTTATGAACAGAGTTTTTTTTTTACCTTCTTCGGTTCATCTTTTATTTATGAGCTGAGTAATGCACTTCTATTTGCTGCCTCATTTTCTGAGGGGTGTCAATGACAAATGCTAAGGGGTCTTAAATATAATTTTTTATGTATTAATTTATATAAAAAAAATTAACATTAATTTTAATATTT